AAAGATTCTATTACTACGTTCATTTCAATATAACGTTTATACTTATTCTCGTATAAAAAAATCTGCTACAGGTCCCATAGTAATATTTGACGTAGGCAATTATGAAAAAGAACTGCAATCAATGCCAATAGAGAACATTCCAAAACAGATTCTAAATCCAATTAATAAGGATAAAGAATTAGAATTAATTGGAATCGTTGACTATAAAAAACCCTCAATGTCAACACGAGCCTCAAATATTGGTCACTATACTGCGATCTGTAGGCGATCTGGAAACTGAATCGAGTACAATGATCTTGTGCTAACAGCCAAGAAAATAAAAAAAACAAAACACGTGTATCCACAAGTCCTCATGTATATTTGTCATGAATAATAGAATAAATTATATATAAAACGAGAAAAATCTATAATTATTACATCCTCCTTCAAAAAAAATTAAACACACGATCTATAACAAATAGGCGAAAAGGATGTAAAGTATAACGATCTTAAAGTCTGTTGATTTCTACTAACTTATATAATTCGTATGATATAAAACAATAATCCATTTTCTTCTCAACAGCTGAAGTCTTGTTCATCACCGCAATAATTTTATAAATTTGATTCTTCCTAAATTAAAATCTTTTAAGGATGTCTCAAATTCATCCCTATTGTATATGTTACAAGTAACAGTTTGGTACTAAAAATATTAGGGTAACAAATTCATCAAGCAATTAAAGAGTAAAGTATCCTGCGAGGGCGCCGAGCAGGATGAACTAATTGCTTTTCTTGTGTCAGAATTAGCGATAATATCGAATTCGTCGGGAATCGCGAGCAACAAAATCAGAGAGCCGTAATCAGTCGAGATATTTCGAGAATTGACAATTTACAGGTGGTGTGCTTACTTTGGGTGGCTAGGGGTAGTTTTTCAAGGTTCGGGGGTGGAGCGACAAAATCGTAATCGACGGAAATCGCGAGCAACAAAATCAGAGAGCCGTAATCAGTCGAGATATTTCGAGAATTGACAATTTACAGGTGGTGTGCTTACTTTGGGTGGCTAGGGGTAGTTTTTCAAGGTTCGGGGGTGGAGTGACAAAATCGTAATCGTCGGGAATTGCGAGCAACAAAATCAGAGAGCCGTAATCAGTCGAGATATTTCGAGAATTGATAGTTTAGAGGTGGTGTGCTGACTATGGGTGGCTAGGGTTGGTTTTTCAAGGTTCGAGGGTGGAGCAACAAAATCGTAATCGACGGAAATCGCGAGCAACAAAATCAGAGAACCATAATCAGTCGAGATATTTCAAAAATTAACAGTTTATAGGTGGTGTGCTGACTATGGGTGGCTAGGGGTGGTTTTTCAAGGTTCGAGGGTGGAGCAACAAAATCGTTATCGCCGGAAATCGCGAGCAACAAAATCAGAGAGCCGTAATCAGTCGAAATATTTCGAAAATTGACAGTTTATAGGTGGTGTGCTGACTCTGGGTAGATAGGGGTGGTTTTTCAAGGTTCGAGGGTGGAGCGACAATATCGTAATCGCCGGAAATCGTGAGCAACAAAATCAGAGAGCCGTAATCAGTCGAGATATTTCGAGAATTGACAGTTTATAAGTGGTGTGCTGACTCTGGGTGGATAGGGATGGTTTTTCAAGGTTCGGGGGTGGAGCAACAAAATCGTAATCGACGGAAATCGCGAGCAACAAAATCAGAGAGCCGTAATCAGTCGAGATATTTTAAGAATTGACAGTTTACAGGTGGTGTGCTGACTCTGGGTGGCTAGGGGTAGGTTTTCAAGGCTCGGGGGTGGAGCGACAAAATCGTAATCGTCGGGAATCGCGAGCAACAAAATCAGAGAGCCGTAATCAGTCGAGATATTTCGAGAATTGACAGTTTACAGGTGGTGTGCTGACTCTGGGTGGCTAGGGGTAGGTTTTCAAGGTTCGGGGGTGGAGCGACAAAATCGTAATCGTCGGGAATCGCGAGCAACAAAATCAGAGAGCCGTAATCAGTCGAGATATTTCGAGAATTGACAGTTTACAGGTGGTGTGCTGACTTTGGGTGGCTAGGGTTGGTTTTTCAAGGTTCGAGGGTGGAGCAACAAAATCGTAATCGACGGAAATCGCGAGCAACAAAATCAGAGAACCATAATCAGTCGAGATATTTCGAGAATTGACAGTTTAGAGGTGGTGTGCTGACTTTGGGTGGCTAGGGTTGGTTTTTCAAGGTTCGAGGGTGGAGCAACAAAATCGTAATCGTCGGGAATCGCGAGCAACAAAATCAGAGAGCCGTAATCAGTCGAGATATTTCGAGAATTGACAGTTTACAGGTGGTGTGCTGACTCTGGGTGGCTAGGGGTGGTTTTTCAAGGTTCGGGGGTGGAGCGACAAAATCGTAATCGTCGGAAATCGCGAGCAACAAAATCAGAGAGCCGTAATCAGTCGAGATATTTCGAGAATTGACAGTTTACAGGTGGTGTGCTGACTCTGGGTGGCTAGGGGTGGTTTTTCAAGGTTCGGGGGTGGAGCGACAAAATCGTAATCGTCGGAAATCGCGAGCAACAAAATCAGATAGCCGTAATTAGTCGAGATATTTGGAAAATTGACAGTTTACAGGTGGTGTGCTGACGCGGAGTCGCTAAGGGTGGTTTTCGAGGGTTGGGGATGGAGCAACGAATTCGGGAAGTGAGCAACTAATTAGCAACAAATTAGCACAAAAAGAATATGCCTTGTTTTTTTATTTTTTTGAGTGGCTGTGCTAACTTTATTCTTAAGCTAGCACAGGCATTGTTTTCTCGGAATTGGCTGGAGCAACAAAATCGGGAATAGAGCAACAAATTAGCAACAAAAAAGCACTAAATTTCTGTGTAAGTTTTATTTGATTGTGCTGAAGTGGCTGTGTCAGCTTAGTAGACGTTTTCACTTAAGCAGTGTTTATCGTTATCTAAAATAAAATCATCTAGATGAAGAAATAGCTTTATTTTATCTAATCTTCGTCTAGATTATTAAGAATATAGATCTTATCTTAGATAAAAGAAATGTTGCATTTCCGAAAATATAAGATTGTACAAAAATATTATAAAATGTTAACTTCCAGTAATATATAGTAGTAGTAGTGACGAGGATCTTTTTGTTCCATAGACGAAAACTGATATTAATTCGATACGTCATTTAAACATATATTGAAGTACTTTCATATTTAGAAAATAAATGTAAGGAAATAGATATCCTTCTCTCATTCTGTATCCATCAAATAAATATTTGTTCACATCACATAAAAATTTTTTAATATAAAATATTCATTGCCATCATCAGAGACAGTAGAGCGCCTCTTTAGTTATAGACGACAAATATTAATTCGCACGTAGAAATTGTATATCAGACGAAATTTTTGAACTATTGTCCATAGAAAATAAAAATTTATAAAAATGAGAAATCGTATTTTTTGTATCCTAATTTGTTTTACTACCTAATAGTAACTTAAAAATAAAATTATCTTATATAAAAATTATATAGGTAAAAAAATTTTTCTATATTTTAATGTTTATCTAGATTAATGTAAAGTTAATTATCTTTATTTTATCTAACAAGGTGAGGGCGCGAGGTATTACTTACCGATTTGAAAAGGCTTATGAATATTAAAAATGAGAAATCGTATTTTTTGTATCCTAATTTGTTTTACTACCTAATAGTAACTTAAAAATAAAATTATCTTATATAAAAATTATATAGGTAAAAAAATTTTTCTATATTTTAATGTTTATCTAGATTAATGTAAAGTTAATTATCTTTATTTTATCTAACAAGGTGAGGGCGCGAGGTATTACTTACCGATTTGAAAAGGCTTATGAATATTAAAGTACTCTAGTAATAGAGTACTTTGGCAAAGTGATACGACCCAACTCTCAGCCGTTTTCGAGAAAAACCGGTTCAAAGTTTATAGTTCCGTATATACCGGTCGCGTTAAACCCATTGTCGAGAAGGCGGCTGAGAGTTGGGATGTATCACTTTGCCATAGGACTCTATTACTAGAGTACTTTAATATACATAAGTCTTTTTAAAATCGGTGAGTAACACCTCGTGCCCTCCCCTTGTAAGATACATCTTTGTGTGATTTATCTAATAAATGTATCTAAATAATTTTTAATTATCTAATCTCTCTCTCTCTCTCTCTCTCTCTCTCTCAATCTCTCTCTCTCTCTCTCTCGCAACTCTGCACTTAAGCCATTTTAAAGTATAGGCTTTACTCTTTGAAACGCGCTAAGGAACAAAGTTCTGCAATTCCTGGAAGAAAAGATAGGATTTTTCAAAGTCGATAAAATTGCATGTTTTAAAATGTTCCCCTAATTTTTGCGTATTGTATACAAATATTTTATTAATATTTTATAACAAAATAAAACATTAATTGAAAAATTCAAGGACTCTAAATTTATATAACAATAACATTAAAAAGGGAAAAAAGTAAAAGTCAAATTACAATTAAAAATCTAAATTTCTCTGATAATTTATTCTAATATATTGCGAAGAATATCACGTGATTTTGGTGTTTCGCCCCGGCTTCCACTACTGGACTCATCAGTAAGGCATTGTAGAGTGGAAGCCTACATTATACGCCTTGGTAAGTTATTAAATCGAGATTCTATATCAAGAGACACGGTAGTGTCTCGCGCCAAGTGAACGCGAAGCGCGAGACCGCACGTATATTTTTACGCGAGTCGATGAGTTCCGTGTACCCGAGATTATCGGATCTCACAATAAATGGCTGAATTTATCAACTTTTATATATCCGTAATTTAGTTTTAGTGTTTAAATTATATTATAAATATGTTTTTATTGTCTACGTACCCTACGAAGGAAGATATCTCGATGTGAAGATGAAATGTCAAAAATTTTAACATCGGAAATGTTGTCCTTTTCACGTTTTAAACGATAGACGGCGTTAAATTCTTGTCCTTTTCACGTTTTAAACGGCAGACGGCGCTTGCTGGCATATTTTATTTTATATCGATTAGCTGTCGAAGAAGAAGATATGGATTCAGATATGGATATTGAGCTGGAGGATATCAAATTATTATTTGAAGAAACTTCACAAATCTCCGCTGCTGCTGCCGCTTCTTCGAAGGCCACCGCCATCGCTCCTCCACAGATCGCTGCTCCTCCAAAGACCGCCGCTCCTCAGCAGATTGCCGCTTCTTCGCAGGCCGTTGCCGCCGCTGCTCCTCCGCAGATCGTCACTCCACAGATCGCCGCTTCTCCGCAGATTGCCGCTCGTCCTAAGATCACCGCTCCTTCGCAGACTGTCACTCCTCCGCAAGTCACCAATACTGCCAATCCCAATCTTCCCGAGATCGTTGCCACCGTCGCCGCCGCCACTCCTTCACAGATTGCCGCCGCTCCTCGATCTCATGTTCCTCAAACATACAAAATTCCACGTAATTTATTTATAACATAATAATTGAATAATAATAGTAAATTATATATTTTATAAAGTATATATATATATATATTTTAAAGTATATATATATTTTTCCGTGTGAAAGTAACAAAATCGAGATATAGTATAATAGATAATATTTTTACTACAATACTTTTTAAAAAAATATTTTACTTACCTTGTTTTATTTTTGTAGGGCACAAAATGAGAGGCACAAAAGGTGGAATACGCCACAAGTCATCGAGGAATTTCTTTGAATTTATATTTCAAATGAGCGATGCATATCAACGACATTATGAGAGAAGACGAGGAACCCAGAGAGGAGAAAGAAGAGGAGGAATAAGAGGAGGAAGAAGAGGAAGAGAAAGAGGAGGAAGAAGATAAAATAAAAAAAGTTAAATTATATTAAATTATATATATTAAATTATAATACTATATATTTGAATGTAAAAATAAATTATAATGTTATATTAATGCTGTTATTTATCATAACACACGCACGCACGCACGCACGCACGCAAGCGCACACACACACACACACACACACACACGCACACGCACTCGCACACGCACGCACGCACGCACGCACATATATGTAAGATATAAAAATAAAAAGCGTCATTCGGCGTCGTTGTCAACGTCGTCGTCTGGCGTCGGCATCATCGTTGTAGTCGTCTGATATCGAGGTCGTTGTAATTTGATGTCGTCGTCCGACATTGACGTCGTTGTCGTCATTCGGTGTCGGCGTCGGCGTCGTCATTGTCGCCAAGCCTCGAGCCTATCATAACTCAAATATAACAAAACCAAATCTTGTTGATTAAATAAAATTGTTGATAAAATAAATAAATTAAAAAATTAATTAATTAATTTAAATGTATGTGAACTACAACGCCGAACTACAAAGACCTCGATATCAGACGACGACTACAACGATGACGTCGACAATAACGACGCCGACACCGAACAATGACAATAACGTCGATGTCATACGACGACGACAACGATGACGCCGACGCCAGACGACGACGTTGACAACGACGCCGAATGATGCTTTTTATTTCTATATCTTACATATATGTGCGTGCGTGCGTGCGTGCGTGCGTGCGTGCCTGCGTGCGTGCGTGCGTGCGTGCGTGTGCGAGTGCGTGTGTGTGTGTGCGCTTGCGTGCGTGCGGGCGTGCGTGTGTTATGATAAATAACAGCATCTGGAGACACGGTAGTGTCTCGGCGCTAAGCCAAGCGCAGCGACACTGCCGTGCCTCCTTTACGCGAACAGGCGATGTTTAAGGGATGAGGTTATCAGATCTCAAAAACGGCTTGACTGATCAAGTTCTACATGCGCTCAATCGATAGTTACCACTTAAATTGTATAATAAAAGTGCTTTTATTTTTTCTCTACGTGCCTTACGAGCGGAGATATTGCGACGCAAAGTCCAAATCTGACACTTTTCATGTATTATAAAATTAAGAAACGTCGTCAACAGGGCTACGGAGAGGGGATATGTCCTTTTGGAATTTTTGCCGCAAGAGGCAAATGTGGCGCTAGTTTTAAGTTATTACATATGACGCGCGCGCGGTTTAAATCTTATTATCTTATAATAAAATATTATTCAATATAATATAAAATATTTATTAATAATATATATATAATGTTATATAGATATATAAAAAAAGATATTAAAATTGAAATATCGAAATATAAAGAAATTATGTGTCCAGGTATTCATTACTATCGAGGAATTAAGTGTCTAGATGTTGTCTATATATGTTTGTCGTCGAGGAAGTAAGTGTTTGATTTCGATATGGGTGTCTACGTGTTCGACGTCGAGGAAATGAGTGTCTAGGTGTTCGCCTTCGAGGAAGTGAGCGTCTAGGTGTTTGTTTGTTTGTAAAAAACGTCGTCCTCGTCGTCGTCGTCGTCGTTGCCAGCTACGAGTGTAGAAATACATTCTTAAATTTTTGGTGCAAGAGATAAATGTGGTTGCGACGGTGGATCTGTACGATCGTTTAAGTCGGATTAAGAGTCTCAGCAATAACAAAGGATTGAGGTTAAGGAATCTGTCATATCGATGGCATAGATGAACACGTACGTGAGGTTAAAATAAATATCGATCGCTGCGATCTGTACGATCGTTAAATAATATTTACGGGTAATATTCTTCTTGGTTTACGGGATTTAACGCGAAAACGCATCGATTGAGTGTTTATTCTTGTGGCAAGAATGTAATCTCCACATTCATCAAACGTAAAATAGATTCATGTTATTTTAATAAAAAATTGTTATCACATTGTTTTTTCTCAGGGTATTTATTATCTTAAGATATAATAAGTATCACACAAGTGTCTCATATTATAATAAAATAAAGTGTGAGGCAAAAAATAAACATATAAATGTTTACATACATATTATACAATTCCGCGGTTTTGCGCTATATATGTTTACATGCATATTATTTATACAATTCCGCGGTTTTGCGCTAACATAAGTATCGCACAAGTGTCGTATTATAATAACAAATAAACTGTGAAGCGAAAAAATATTACGATGTAAACCAAGCCTATGTATGAAAAACGATTATATTATGCAATAAAAATAAGTAATATTCAATTCTATAAAACACTTTTTTTTTCTGAGCAGTGTGTAAAAGAAAATGGATTATATTATAATAACAATTAAACAGTTACCCTGTTTTTTATGTATGTATAATTAACACATGAAATTGAAAAATTCAGAAAACCATTAGAACAAACACAATTAAATTATCAGAAAAGGTGTTTCTTATAGATATTTTTTTTAAACGATTAAACACACTGTTTAGAATGAATTGTAAAATAGTAAAATGAATTATTTAAAAATTAAAAAAAGCATCCAAATTTTTGTTGCTTCTATTCTGGTTCAGGATGTTCCGGTTTTGATTGTTCCGGTTTCTGAAAAAAAATAAAACATTTTTATTAAAACTAAATATATAAATAATAAATAGGTAACCAATAAACAAAAGAAGGCTACGAGAGAGAAGAGAGTCTAAAGAAGTTAATAATTAAATTTAATTAACATCTTCTCTAACCATGTGTGTTGAATACATACATACATTACGTAATTTTTTATCTGTTAATTTAAAAAGATAATAAAATAAAATAATAATAGTTAAAATATTATTTATATATATATATATATATACAAAAACAAAATTTATCATAAATTAATCTTATAATTAAAATATATATAAATACCTTTATAAGTACCTTTATGTATTAAAATATAATGACTGATATTTTGAACTTATAATGTTACTAATTTAGAAACTGTTTAAATCTCGTAACAAGAATGTAAATAAAAGTTAATGCATTTGGGTTAATGATACGTTAATCGAAGAGAATATTGACATTATAGACTACCTGTACAGTGCAAAAGATATGATTTTAATAATACTTTTAATAAAGATTATATTCAAAATATGAAGAGAATATTTGCTGGATATCACATTTCAAGAATTTTTACCTTTCCTCGAGAGGGTCCCCAATTATAATGGGCTGATGAAAGTCTGTATAAGAATCTCATAAAACGTTGTTGCTGTATATAAGCTCCAGCTCGAGTGCCTCTTGGTCTCTCTGTAATGTGATTATTATTACATATATATGTTTTGAAAGTACGAAAACAAAAGAAATTATTGCCTGCATTAATGAGTATAATAATAAATACTTACGTGAAGTATAGTTTGCGGTGCTACTACTAGCTCGAGTGTCTCTTAGTCTCTCTATAAAGTGATTATTATTACATATATATTTTTTAAAAGTACGAAAACAAAAGATTAAATAAGTATGTATATAAATATATAAATATTTATGTGAAGTATAGTTTGCGGTGTGTGTATTATTATAATCTTCAGAAACATTTGGATTTGCCTGGCTGTTTACCTGCAAAATAATAATAACAATAAAGAAATATATAGAAAAAGAAAAAAATATATTACAATATAATAACATAGCTAATGAAAAGGCTCTATAAGTATAAAACAAAATAAATACAAGGACAAAGAGCCAAGAATCAAACAAATAATTAAAATTTCATCAAGCAATATAATTTAATAAACTAGAAGAAGAAGCCAATAACGGTCGAAGCTGGATCAAAGTGCTTATAATAATTATGTGAATTTTATATACTGCGTATGTAGTCCCCCCCGCGACGCTGATAGATTTTCAGCATTGACGCATACATACTCACTACCGCAGTAATATCACTAAGTTAAATTGACAAGCAATCTAACAATTTGATGCTTATAGCATCTTATGGATCTTAATACTATGTTGAAAGACATATATTAAAATTTAACGATTTTATTATTAATTTAATGTAAATTAAATTAATAATAAATCAAATTCTGTGAAAAATAAGATTGCGAAGAATATTACAAGTTGGCGTTTCGTCCCGGCTTCCACTACTGGACTCATCAGTAAGGTAATATAGTGGGAGCCTACCTTAGACGCCGGTGTAAGTTCTTAAATCGAGATTCTATATAAAGAGATATAGACGCGTGTCTCAGCACTTGCGAGAATTTGCGAATATCTATAGACCTCTGATGGCGGGTCGACGTAGTAATATCTTTTATTTGTTAAAAAAATATTCTATTATTTGTTAAAATCGCGTCAAGCCTGAAAAGAGACGTTATTATTACTACTTTAGTTAAATATTGCGAAGAATATTATTTAATTAATTTACATTAAATTAATAATAAAATCGTTAAATTTTAATATATATGTCTTTCAACATAGTATTAAGATCCATAAGATGCTATAAGCATCAAATTGTTAGATTGCTTGTCAATTTAACTTAGTGATATTACTGCGGTAGTGAGTATGTATGCCTCAATGCTGAAAATCTATCAGCGTCGCGGGGGGGATTACATACGCAGTATATAAAATTCACATAATTATTATAAGCACTTTGATCCAGCTTCGACCGTTATTGGCTTCTTCTTCTATTTTATTATTGTTTATCAATTGTACGGTCTTAAAAATAT